ATAGGTGCACGTTATAAAGACAATAATAACTGGCGAGTTTTATGTAGATTATATCGCGGACCATTACTTATGATTCAGTTTCTTTTTCTTATGGGAATTAATGTCTATGGGTGGAGATCTTCTGGTGTAAATCATGTTTTAATATTTGAACTTGATCCTCGAAATCATTTGTCAGAACAGGTTGTATACTTTATTTCTTACTTACAATACATAAATTATTAACAAACGTACCAATTCATTTTCAGCATATCATTGAAATGGCTAGTGTTTTTGGATTAGTTTGGTCTTTGTCAATTTTAGGTTTCTTATACAGTGAAACATTAGGAATACCGCCATTTGTTCAACCTGTAAGTGATTATAGAGCATATAAAATGATTAAAATATAAAGAAATATAAATATTTTTTGCAGTTTTTGTTATACACATTGCTAGCCTTATTTTTATTTAATCCAACAAAAACATTACGTTACGAGGCTAGATTTTGGGCACTCCGTGTATTGGGTAGAATATTTTGTGCTCCATTTTTCTACGTCGGATTTGCTGATTTCTGGCTTGCAGATCAACTTAATTCTCTACATACTGTTTTCTTAGATTTTCAATATTTCGTTTGCTTTTATGTACAAAATTCTTCGTGGACCAACGTCACCGGTTCGTAATCAGATATTATAAGTTATTATTGTAAAGCTTGATAGATATAAGTATTTAACTAAATGTATTTTTCTACAGATGCAGAAACTTGTATAATGCGTGAATTATCAATGAGACCATTCGTAGCTTGTTTGCCAGCGTGGTTTCGATTTGCACAGTGTTTACGACGATATAGAGACACAAAAGAAACTTTTCCCCACCTTGTGAATGCAGCAAAATATGCTACCAGCTTTTTCGTTGTATTTTTTTCATACCTACATTTAACTAACGCTAGTAAGTTTTTTTGTTTAGAAACTTTTATCATAGTGCTAAGAATTGTAATGACACTTACGCAATATCTCTTCGTAGAATATTACGTAATGTCCACCGAAAATCCTTATTTTTATTTATGGATTACCGCAAGTATTATGAGTTCTTGTTTCACATATACATGGGATATAAAGTTGGATTGGGGATTATTTGACAGTAATGCAGGAGAGAACAAATTCCTCAGGGAAGAAATAGTTTATTCTTCTCCAGTAAGTTTGACTATACGTAGACGGTAGTGTAGATAATAATTTTATCTTATAATTACACAATAAAATTTGTATTGTTATAGTATTATTATTACTTTGCAATAATCGAAGATTTTGTGCTCCGTTTTGGTTGGGCGTTTTCGCTTTCTCTTACCGAAATGGGATACGTGCACGCAGATTTAATGGTTTCTATAGTGGCGCCATTGGAAGTATTCAGGTAAGTTAGAAGTAAGTGGACATTACTAGCAATAAAAATACATTATTAGAAACCATGATTCTGCTTGTACATACACGTCTAATGTATACGAATTATTTTATATTGCACACGGTTATGTAGTAGATCATCCCCAGCGAAGCTTGACAATGAAATTTTGCTTGCATGATATTTAAAATGATTTTACATTTCAGTTACACAAGACATGCTGAATAAATAATGTTTACAGAGTGAAACTAATAAACCTTAATAAACTTGAAAGAGGAATTTTATTTGTTTACGATCTTTATTCCCGTTTTATTTATTCCCCTGCATTTTTTATATGAGTTGAAAGCATTTTTAAGCTTTTTAAAACTTGTAAAATACTTTCTTGGCATTATCGGCAAAACTTTTGATTTATCATAAGAAACATCATTTTGTATCAATTCGTCTTACTAATCAGTTAATAGAAGGTACACATGGAATTATTTTCGTCTGGAAAACGAACACCTGTACAACGTAGGGAAATTTCGAGCGGTTCGAGATATCTTCATAGGGCCTTACAGACACACCGAACACGATGAACAGAAAGCAGCCATTCGTCTCATGGATTGTAAGAACGACGATAGCGAGGAGCGGACAGCGTTTCATGGTCATTGATGTTGATATCTTGTAATTGTGAATTTTATCTGTATTCGAACATGATCATTCCCATTTAGACGAACAATCAAACGAATTCATTTCTTTCTTATCTGTAAATTGCATATTAATTTGCATGTTCGGCATGTCACCACCTCAACTAATGATTTAATTTATGCTTTCGAGCTAGTATTTATCTATTGTTTTGTTAGATTTTGAAATTAACAACCATAGAAGATGTCGATACAATATAATCGCGAAATAATTTGCTGCCCCTTCCTAATAGGAGATTCATATGGAACTTTTTCCGTTTGGAAAACGAGCATCTAAACAATTGCGGAAAATTCAGAGCGGTAAGGGATATCTCTGTTGCACCGGTCGATTGCTCTGATCAAACGCAAATATTGAGAATGATGGACGCAACGGACGGGGTGATCAATCGAAAGAGAAAGCAAAAGGTAACGGATAAAAAGCCACCACGCATGTCTTCCAAAGGTGAATCCCTGATTTGTGATCTCGACACTTAAACGAATTGAACTATGTGACGTGTGATATTTGTGAAGGTTGGGGATCAGTTAATCGATTTCCCCGTGTAAATGTAACGGAAATTGATTTTATTAGACGTTAAAGTACAAAGATATGCCAGAGTGAGTCTACGAGTTAAGTTTAACGTGGAAAATGTATAATGTCTCATGAATGTGCTATAAAATTGTTATACAATGTTCACGGTTACGATTATACAATAGTTCTGTCACGATGTGTACATTCGAATATCCCGCGCTACGATCTGTCCGCGTATATCGATTTGTCGAAAGTTTCGAGATGTTCGTTAGACGTGTAGTAATCATTTGAAATTTTAAAAAGATGAACACTTCATATTCGGACAAATACGAATTTCTTTTAAACGTACAAAATATTCATTATAAATTGTAACGAAAATAAATTATTTTGATTTTTTAATAACAGTACTCTTTACTCCTTCCTCTGCTTAATAAAAAATAAATCACTTATCTTTTTTCTACATTGTTGTTTTTTCCAATATTTCATTTTCTATCGTTTAAAAATGATTTTTTTACATCAGTTGAAATGTCAACAGTTCTGCTTTCACGATAAAGTAAATCACCACTTTGACCACTTCAACTATTTCGATCTAACCTAGACATCTTCTATATCGACAACTGTAGTAAATAACACTACAAGCTAATGGCGATCGTTCCGCGCGTAATCCGCGTCAGATCAAGACGTTAATACTCTTTGAACAGTCGTCGCGATTGACAGTTCAGTGACTAGTGTTCACTGAGGGTGTTATTATCGAATTTTTAGCACAGTGCAAGAAATATCAACTGCGTCGTATTTGGAAATTTTCAAACGTACTTGATTTCCGGTACAACTTCTCGTAAGTACTTCCATACTTCAAATCTATTCTCATATCGACTGATTTTTACGAGTTATACAAAACTCGATCACGGTCATCATCTGCATCATTTTTCTCGGTCGTCTTTCACATGTGTCCGAAGATAAGCGGATAAAAGTATTAAGCAATGTTATCATCTCTACCATTAGAAGATCGTTCGAAGATACATACAGTTCGTTGCAGATGCGATCGAAATATTTGACGAGTAAAACCGAACAAGGAACGACTCTCTTTTTTTCCAAATTTCAAATTCCTCCGAACAAATAATACAAAGAATTCCATTGATTAAAAAAAAAAAAATTATACACGTGAAAGAAATTGTCATATACTTGAAAACGTGTTCTTTCGCATATGAATCGTTGCTTCGATGGTATTAAAGAGTACCGCGGTAAATTCGACAGAAAACGTCATTAACGACGTTTTTGTGTTCCATTTATTTCATGGTAAATACGATTTCGATGGTGGTTCACAGGGTACGTATATAGCATAGAAAAGGGGAAACGACAGACGATAGGCATCGTAGACGGAAAGCTCTTCCGCAGAAGGGCAAACGTCGGTTTCGTCGGCGACGATATTCGCGGTGGAAAGGGTAATGGTGGTATTGATTGCAACGGAACTTGACCGCGCAAACTCTCTGTCTGCCCTCAATGAAATGACGTACTTACATATGGAACCACGACAAACGGCAAGACGATAAAAACCTGTGGATACCACACCTGGCCAACACCTGCCAGTTGAAACGGTGATGATGACATCGACCCTCTGCACCTGCACATGGCTGCTGCTACCCTGCTGCGTTCTCGTCACCCTCTCCACCGGTGAACTCGATTTTTATCGAGGTGAGCATACACTCTGAGTCCGTTCCACCGAAAACACTGCTCTTTTTGAGGGTAACGACACTAGGCGTAGTATCTCACATTCACGACCTTACGCTTTTCTTTTTTTCCCCCATCTTCTATATCTTACTGCACCGTTACTTTTCTCAACGATTCAACAAATTTTTTTCTTTTTATTAAACAACGTTTGAAATGATCGAAACACATCTTGCAACGATATCGCGAATGTCATCCTAACGACGTAGGTAATCGATCGTTTCACGTTGTAAACTCGACTGCTTGACTTATTAAACATTTTTCCCCTAACTAACAGGTTTTCGACGGAACTTAAACATGTTTCAAGTGGAAAGTGTGAAAAATCTGTGTTCGAAGAATGTCGCCTGGATTACTTTCGGAAGATTGCATATGCTGTCGCGTGTGCACAGCGTACCGAGGGATGTTCCCTAGTCTTCCCTATGTCTCGGTTCTTTTCCGAACCTCGATCAATTTAAGGTGATATTTAAACGGTAAAAAATATAAAAAGACGCTTGTTCACCCCGACACACTACTGCCGCGGTACCAATGAATTATATCTGTGCGTGCACGCGCGGCAGTCTGAAACGGAATAGAAATTAGATAAACGTGTTTATCAAATGACTGTAACGCACACGTCGCCAACATCGTTCAGGAAATGTGCCTGTTGTATAACCACAGGAAATCCATGTGTACGTGTTCCTATCCGGAAATAAACCGATAAGGCGTAGGTGTCGTGTAATTTGTCAATATCGTTAGGTACGCTTTTTCTTCCATTTCAATTTCATTCGATTCCCCCGTAATAGAGGGGGATTAACCGAAACAGCGAAACAAGAGAAGAATCGAAAAAAGTTGAGAAGAAACTGGAACATTCTTGAAAGGTGCAACAAGTTGTTTGCGTAGAAAAAGTGATTTCGACACAGTGCCGTAGAATCGTAGATACTTGAATAATACCTAATTTCTTTTTTTTTTTCTCTCCCTTTTAGATGAAGTCCCTGAAATCTCGGAGAACATCATGCTCAGGCAAGTTATCAAGTATCTCGAGGGGCAGAGAGCACGTTTCTCCTCGTTGCTGGCTAACCAGGCCCACAAGAAGCATCGTGTGGATCTGGATCGACTGAAGGAGAGGGATTTGCTGGAGGCATTGGTGAACAAGGGTAGCCTAGCTGAGATTCTGAGAAACGGAAAACCGAAAGGATGGAATCACCGACAAATGCGATATAACGAGCCGATCAACGAATCACCGCAACAGAGAGAACCGTTCTACGACTTGAATCCATTCGAGAGCCCGTTGGAATATCCGAATTTTAAGTTGCCTTATTATCCGCGTGAAACGAACGAAGAAGATGGGAATTTCCAAGACGATGGTTATCAGTACGATAGAAATCCACCGTTGAAACAGATGGCTTACGAGGAGACGAATTTCAATAAGGAAATGAAGGATGAACCTTTGTTAGATTTTCACGGAAGTTACGACGGTTCTATGGTTAACGAGGACGAAGGGGATAACGACAGGAAGACGCAGAAACCGCATATGACCAATCCGGAATTTTTTTTTAAGTTCGACGACTTGAATCCACCGGAGAGACATCCGTTTGCGGTAAAGCCGAACGATCCACGTTATTATCAGGAAACTTTTTACTTGGGTAATGGACTTAACACTCTGATATTTCGTATGGTTTCAACGGATATTCTCGTAATTTTCTGTTCCATTTAATTGTAGCAGATGCCGGTGATACGTGGGTTAACGAGAAACCGAGAAGGAACAAGACCAAGTGGGATCAGGAGAATAAGGCAATGGAGAAAACTGACGCAGTCCGCAAAGAAAGCCCGAGGCACGTTGAATCGAAGTTTAAAGACACGTCGATGATTGTGTTGCCAGAGTTGGAACGTCGTACAGAATACAATCCACTGTTCGTACCTGTGAATCAGGATTTTAATAATGATATATATTTTACTGGTAAGCAAGCGACGTGTGTGACGAATAATGCAACATCACATAGGAAAATGAATTGTTCTTTTTTACTTTTAGCTATCGTTGCTGGTTGCAGCGCAGCGGCCATGTGTGCACTTGTATTAATCGCTTTAACATGGTACAGGTAATAAGTATATCAAATGTTTCTTATTAACGAACGATAGAAAGATTGAATGGAGTTTATTTAATGATGTTAAGTACTTTTCCCAGACTAAAATGGGGTGCCAAAGCAGCTGCTGACATAGAGTATCCAGCTTATGGTATAACAGGTCCGAACAAAGAGGTATCGCCTTCGGGAGATCAAAGACTTGCACAGTCTGCTCAGATGTACCACTTCCAACACCAAAAACAACAAATTATTGCCATGGAAAAGTAAGTGATTCCACAATATGTGTATATATACTTTTTTTTTCATATATGGAGATAATAGTAGTAATTTTCATTTGATATTTTCGATCTACTTTGAGTAATTGAAAAGTGAATAGGCATAGGAAGATTCTCTCCAGCGTGGGAAAATTCTCTCGAAGTTTGACAAAGTTTTCAGTGATTTTAAGAAATTTTATTTTAATTAGAGAATATCGTTCCGATAATGATTTGTGTAGTCGTGTTTCTGCAACCAGAGATCCAGGCTCTGTCTCGGAAGCTGATAGCGAGGAGGAGAATGAGGAAGGAGATTACACCGTTTACGAGTGCCCGGGACTAGCTTCTGTAAGTTTCAGTATTCGGTTGATTTTATAAAAAATTTATTGGTAGAATCTGGTGGAAAAAAGTTCTGACGTTTTATTGTTTAAGACAGGAGAAATGGAAGTGAAGAATCCATTGTTCCACGATGATCCAACACCAGCAACACCAGCACAAATGAATAAACAAGAGGACCATAATATATAGTTTGAGTAAATTCTAAATATATTTGATTTGAAATATCTTCTTCTGGTGCTTAGCTCACTGTTAATGTACCATATCGGAAACATTTATCTATATATTGAATGTATGAAACAACTTTAATACTTATATGACGCAGGAAGTCAAGATATAAAGAAAGATAACTATAAGGTCTGACTGCAAGATCGTTTTTTGCGTTTTGTGCAAGGGATTTAACAGCGTGAAACGATGAACAATTCCACGTCGTTAGAAACTATTGTGTTTGTTTGAAAACACATATTTTTTAAACTCCATGATGTACTATAGTTTGTACTTTCATAGCAAGTACGGTTAGCCACATGATTGACATTATTTTTCTACACACCGTTACACTTGCAACATAGAGTACAGATTGGAGATCATATTATACTATAAAACGTCTAAATATCACTTTATACCTGACTCTAATTTTAAAACCTAGAAATAATTGTTTATTGCAACGTTTCAACAATTTCTTCTTTCTCTCCGTATCGGTGATTGTTTCATTTCCGTTTCTTCTATTCGTTTGTTTCTGTGTGATTTTAAACACAGTTAATAATATCGGAAATATTATAGATTGGTTATGCTACACTAATGGTATGGTTTGAGATTGTATTTTATACAGTCTTTACGCTGTAATTCTCTATATTTATATTATAGAAATATATGTGACTATATTAAGTTTAGTACTTTCTGGAAGGAAGGAAATACTTAAAAAGTTTATGATTAAGATTAAAATAATTCGAAATATTATAACGAAGGAAAGGAAAGGAAAAGTTTGTTTCATGCGTAGGTCAATGGCTTGATGTTTACCGGTAAATATTTTACGTTAACGTTGTTACATTAACTTCTCGATTATTTCGCGGTCAAGGTTACAAAAATTTCCAGATAACTTCCATTTTGCATGTGCTGTTTGCTTCTGGCATTATCACTGTGATTTATATTATCCAAATGAAAAATTCTGTACATATGAGTACATAATTGTTACAAAGAAGCTGTTCCTTTAAAATTGGCTATTACACACGCGAGATAATACAGAATAATTTATGGGCTTCAGGTAATGATAATATGTATTTTATTTTTCTATGATACCTATAACTGTTGATTATAAAAACAGTTTTAAGATAAAAGAGCCTATTATTATACCCAATATGAGATATAGAAATGACTATTTATTTTGGCAAATTTTAAGCACTACATGTAATTAGCGCCGACTATGTAATTTACCCAGAGAGTTACTATTTACACCCTTGAATATCTGTGGAATAATATACATATATACATATGTGTATGTAATATGTATACACATATACATATATGTACGCATATGTATATAGATATGAAATATAATATATTATAACAAGGCGAAACAGTAATCTCCTAGACTCGTCTGTCTAATAATAATCGATCATAGATCGAGAATTAAAACACCGTCAACAGCATGAATTTATCGTTAACCTTTCAATGCCTTTACAGCACTGCATCGTCGACTATATAAATTCGTTAAATTTTATAGAAAGGACACTATGAAAGGACAATCTGTGTACAAATAGACTATTGTATAGTGATTTGTAGCATGATTGTATGTGTTGTGAGCTGTAGCATAGGCGCAATGAGAACCATTGCGATTCGTGTTCGCGATTCATGTTTCGTAAATATATATCGTTATCACTATTATTTTTGTTCTTCCATTAATTAAACAAAAGTGGTGTAAAATATGAATGATAAATGATGTATTATTATTTTACTAAATAAATTGTTTATTTTATAAAGAATCTGCGTTTGCTTTTTTTTTGCGTAAAAAATTGTCTTACGAAGATAGGAAGTAAAAATAGCAAAAAAAAAGAAGAAAAGTTGAAACAGATGAATTTTTTTAACGAGTAATAATTATCCTTTAGGAAAATATAATACGTTTAATCGTATTGACATTTCTATTTACAAGTTCATCATGTGTTATGTCCATGGAATGTGGCATGAATATTTACACGGAATATATTATTGTGATACATATCTCGATACTTGATGACGCATTCCAATTGACTGTCATAAATACTGGTAGGCATTATACATGTTTAATTAATAATTGCACTCGATGGAACGTTGTTATTTTACACAAATTACGTTTTGTCTCCTAACATTTACGTATTCAGCAGAATTACTGAAATTGATTCGATAATTTTATTGTATGTAATATTTGTGCGATAAGATAATGCATTGTATTTTACCTATTTCAACATTCGTAATTCAAATTCTTGTTCCCGCTCGCACCCTTGAAACAGGGCAAAGGTAATGTTAAAAAAATATAGTTTATTTACAACGATTGTAAATAACCTTTGCATTTCTCACAATTATCGGTCTTCATCCGATAAATGTTTAAAGAAATATATCAAATCGTTTATAACGCATTGCGTTATATCAATAGTCTTAAAACGCTGTGTTGCTATGTGGTCCTAATGTAAAACGGTCGCAATCTGTACAACCTTAGTTTTACAATGTCAAAGTTGCTCACTTCTCGTCGTTCTTGTAAGAAAGATTAACTTCCCCCTTTTTCACTTCCATATTTATTTCCTCGGTGACAGATTCATCTTCTGGAACCATGTACTTATAGAATTTCGCCAATATGGCGAAGGCAATCATGTCGATGAACATCAATCCGGCGTATAAAAACAGGTCATAAACCTAAGTAACACAAAAATAAAAACTTTACACTAAAGATCAGGGAGCAATTTTACTAACCATCAACGTTGAGTAATGAAACTTTTGGAAAAGTTTAATGCTACGAACGTTGAATAATGCATTATTCACAGTTGCCATGATTGAATAATCATGGCCACAGTTTCGTTCGACCTTGAATAATAGCGAGCGTGTTTAGAGAATTTTGATTAGTACTTCGAATAATTATCACGCTGCACATTTTTTATAAACATGCCAAAAGAATTTCAGTTTTTCAATTTTTCGCGTAGCATAAAAATTATTAGTAATTAAAAAAGTGAAATTTCTTTCACCTATACACTCACCTGTCGATCGAAAACTGCGTCCGCGAAGACAACCGTAATGATAACTACAAGGATATTACCAAAAGCTACTGTCAGTAGCCAGGTAGCTTGTAACAGTGACTTCATACTGACGGGTGCTTGCGTAAACGCAAACTCTAAACCGGTCACGGAAAACATCACTTCTGCCATTGTGATAATCACGTATTGAGGTATCAGCCACAACATGGACATCGAATTTGGATTGGTTACGGTCACGACGTTAACTTTCTGTTGGTCTCCACTGACATAACCGACGACTGTGTAAACTCCACCAAACTTAAAGGGTACATCTTCCTTTACTATTTTATTGTTCAAACGGATGCTATATGTGTTAGACTTGACTTCGGCTAGATTCGAAGGTTGCAGAAGCGAGGAAAGCGTCCAGTTGGCGACAGTTTTATCGTCTTTAACCAGTTCCAAAGAAACATTCTTCTCTGGTGTGTTCAGAAAGATGAGACCACGTACCCGAGGATCACCACTGACTGATTTTTCTATCGAATCTACGTACTTGCCTGTGAGCCCATTGGCCGTCATAATCCAAGAGTTTGCCTTGGCCTCTGTTACATCGATCATACCTAAAAAAAATACATTCGATCGTTATGTAATTTTTATACATATAATGTAAAGGTAAGGGATAACATCGAACGATAATATACCCATAGACGTACCGATAACGTTTGATATATTGACGCATTTTGAATAATCTGCCATATAATTTAATTGTTTCACACCATTCGTTGAAATATTTTCGACCTTCCACATGTCCAAACTTTTCAGAACGAATTTCATATCATTGGACAACTCTACGTTTACGGGACAATCGAGAGTGTTGAAAACTTGTAGCTGAGCGAGACCTTCTGAGGGCATGACCGGTTCCGTTGCCTAGAAAGAGAGAAATTTCGAAATTTTTTACACGTTCTTAAGGGGAATTATATGATGAATGAAAATTTAATGAAGCACCTCGATCTGGATTTCAACGAGCGCCGATATCACGAACGACAAAGCGGCCAGCATACCGCCGATAGTGAGTTTCCTCAGTGGTGTGTGAAGCCTAATCTTCGCTAGAAGCGGATAGACGCAAGTCTCGAACAAAGGAATAAAAGCAAGCACCAGGAAAGGATTGAAGACTTGCATCTGATCCGGTTGCAGCGTAAAATTGCCGATCTCGCCGTTCATTCTGTTCGCTTGGAGGGTCCATTGCGAGGCTTGCTGATCGAACAGGGTCCAAAAGAACGGTATGGGAATGAACAGCTTCATCACCTGCAAAGCCGCCTTGATATCTTTTATCAACACCTTGTCGTACTTATCATCCGCATAGTCGAGCCAATGATCTCTTTTCTCACCCTTCGACTTCACCTTTCTGGAAATGGCGTGCTGAAATTTCAAACGTTATCCACGATAATTCAACGATGATTCAATTTTCAATGTGCAAGAGATCAGACTTACGGAGACGCACTTGGAAACATTCAACACGACGTTGCCCGTGGGCTTGACTATTCTGTACAAAGGTTTGCCAGAGATGAATATTACTGAAAAAAAAAAAAAAGAAAAAATCGAATTGTTTCAAGCTTACTGGAATCTACATGTATATATCTGTTGGAACTTACCAATGGACAAAGCCATGAGAATGGCTGGCACGAAGAAGGACAGTGAATAGCATGTAGTTTCGCCGAAACAGGAGATATCGCTACGGAGTATGGGCGTGAGGAAGCTGGAGATCAAGGATCCAGAATTGATGGAGAAGTAAAAAATAGAGAAGAATGAGGATAAATATCGTTCGTGTTGCGGTAACACGAATTGATCACCTCCGAATGCAGCCACGCAAGGTTTTATGCCGCCGGTGCCAAGGGCAATAAGGAGTAGACCAAGTAATGAAAATTCTCTGCAAAAGTTATGTTTCATATAAATATCATTGAAATAACGAATATTTTTCTTTTTATTACAATTCAAGAACATACCTTTCCAACTCCTTTTATTTGCAAAAGAAAAAGTATGTTGGATAATAAAATCCACATTCTTTCGTATATACATATATACATATGTACATATGTCAGATGAAGGTAATAACGAAATGATGTATACGTTGATAAGAAGTGAGGCGAAAAGAATGTAGGATCTCACCTAGCTGGTATTCCTAAAGGAGGCACCGCGCTCAAGGACAAAATAATTTGCCCCAAGGAGTAGATAATACTCAAATAGAAGATCGTGCGGAATTTCCCAAGTAACGAGTCTGCCAGCATCGCTCCGAACACAGGGAAAAAGTATACGAACGCCGTGAAAATATGATATATCACGATGGTCGTTTGAGCGCTATACCTCAGTTGGTTCCGCAGATAGAGCGTCAAAACCGCTGAGAAAAGAAATTTTTCAACGTTAAATCTGTTACTCATTGGATTATCGCGTAAACGCTTGTCACTTAGAACAACAATCACTTGGAATTTAATGGGAGCAATCTGGATAATAAAATACCTTATCGTATTGACAAAGATGAATATTAGGTTTTATTACGTACTACGCATTCCATAGAAAGAGAACCTCTCGCAGAATTCATTGCTAACGATGAAGAACACCGACTTCGGATACTTCAGCTTCTGCAAACATAAAAAAAATACAGTTAGGTGAATGAAAGAAAATTGTACTTCACGCGGTGGAAAATAATGTACACGGCAGCACAATCGCATTGACCCGATTAACTTCTACGTTGTGTTATTGCCGGTTAAGAGTAATCATTTTTCCTTCGTTGTTAAATTGCGAAGGACACGCGCGCGATTCACAGAATTATTTCCGCCATCGATGATATTCTATTCAAAGGACGCCGCTTCTGGTGTTCAGTTTCACCGATCACACACACGTGCGTCATATTTATTTCTCTCTCGATGAATTTTCCTGTTCGTTTAGGTTTTCTTCGGAATTTTTAGTAATATTACACCGACGCACGTCTCAATTACGCAATGCGACACAACAGATCGTAAGATAGCGAGTATTAGTTCGTGTGGAAAAAAAGATCACTTTGATAACGTGAATTTCAACGAAAAAAACCATTTCAAACTCGACCTTAAACTTACGTTCTTTTTTTTTACTTTTATCTTTTTCGTTTGTTAATCGTAGAGATTTGAGTTTAAGGTAATTAAGGAAACGATAAGAAGTTAACAATTTTATTTTTTTTAACGAATTGTAACCTAAAATTAATCTCGATGAATAACTCGTTCTTGTCTTAGACTTCCTGCTTTTACTATCTTTAAAAGTCACGTAAATGCATAAATTAGTTTGTTGTGAGTACAATGCCATTGATAATGTTATTTTTGCTCCTTTGGAAATTAATCGACGTTCCTTTCATAGTTTAGAATGAAATCAATGTCGATGATTCAGTTGTTACTTGCGTATCGTGTGAGATAAAATGAACGAGAAAAATATATAATTGCTTTGCAGTTATGCGAGCGAAAATATTTTTATCGCTATTCATTTTTAATACATGCTGTCGATACTATTTATGGAATGAGAAATGTGACCGAAGGCTTAAACGATTACGAAAACTTCCCCGATATAAATCCGAATATGAAATTAAACAAAACAAAAAAAAATAGAACTCATTTGCTTATTTACGGATTACAGAACGACTGATAACGTTTGTTATTATGTGTGGCACACGTAATACATTATGCATTGAAAGATATACATACAGTGGGTAAAACGGTCGCATCGAAATGTATAGTATAAACTCTCTTCGGAATTGTTTTACATTCCAAATTCTGCCTATTTTTTCTTCGTATGCTACTGCATAAGTTTTCACGTATCCGCCATTCTAAACCTCTACAAAAAAAACTCTGCGCAACTTCTTTTTACGCGGAAAATAGAAGTAAAAGTAAATGGTTAGAACAATCGTTATTCGATAAAATGTTTTTATCGTAAGATGAATTTTCAAGAAAGGCAATTAAATTTACATCGTACATTCATCGTCTATCATAAATTCACGCGAAGCTGCGGCAAAAATTGTTTGAAATTCTTACCTCCGTTTCCACAGTTTCCTTTGTTTCTTTTAACACAACCATCGTGCCTGTTAGTCCTATTAATTTAATAAAGATTTACACTAAAATTCGACTAAACTACTGAACAGAGTTTCGCACGCAAAAAGCATATCGTTAGAACACGCGTTTCATGGCAGTCGGATAATACAAGAAAAGTGTACTAACGGGGAATACTGTTTTACACAAAAAAGCGGTTAGTCTAGATACTTGTACATATGTATCTCGAGTTTACAAATCGAAGCAAACAGATCACCGATCGATCGAGATATCTCGCACGGTAATACAAGAGCCACGTTCACCTCGCTTGACAGTCTGAGCTGTACTGTTCGCGATTGATGCTTGCTCATGAGGACCCTATGCTGGCATTCAAGGCAGAGTTGTGTCTTACGTGTATGTATGTATTTGGAACAATGTGAAAGTTTGCCGAACGGTATCACGAACAATTTAAAGTTTGCGTCGAAATGCTAATACATTTGATATACGTACGTACACATTATGAACTCATTTGTTTCTTTATAACTCTACTATCTTGTACATATGTAATGTATGTATGTACATATTTGTGACAGGAAGCATTTTTCGAGTGAAATTGTATCTGCGTTTTCTCTTAACCTTCTACAATGTCCCTCACAATCGAATTGTGAAATAATTGTAAAGTGTTCCTTTTATTAAAGCCGTTGTAACCCTACGTATGATAAGGTACAATTAATTGTCGAACTATCTATTTGACATATTTTCGCAATAGAAAAGCTTTCGCGGAGATAACAACACGAATATGGATTAAGATAGTTCAAGCGTAATAAATTTTCAAAGTTCAACCTGCGATAAATGTGTCGTTCCGCTTTCCATTACTAAACAAGGCAGATTGAAAATTAATCTACAATTTCAACATGTGGTTTAATCATTGGGATTATTGTATCTGTGATAAGAGGTGATTGTTATTTTTTTTCTTTTTTATTGACATGATGTCAATAAATTTTGTAGGAACTTCAGTCACAATTATTGCAAAGGAAGGTAAATAGATGTAAGTAGTAAACTAACTAGAGTTTCGATGTAGTGAAAAAAAGAGAAATCTGATCTGAGTTTCTGGTCAAGGCGCTACCACATTGTTTTACGAAACTGGACCATTTTGCAGAGGCGTGATTTACGATATTGGACAATTTTATGTTATTTGAAATCTTCGTCATTGACCCATATTACGCAAGAATGCACTTTTTAAACGAATTGCCGATAAATAACAAAGTGGCGTAGAATAATCTTTTCGATATGAAGGAATTTCTCTTCCTCGATATCCTTGCTCGCGAGTACAAAGTTCAATTAACTTTGGTGAAAGTGTTAAGCTTAACCGTCAACCAACCGTACGTAATTTGCGCATTATCCGCGAAATGAACACGAACACGTTCGCACCTGATTTCCGAATCACTAGTTTTCTTGGTTAACGAAATGTGTTTCGAGCCTGTATATGCGTTTTTCGAGCGTTAAACAAGGATTACTATCTACATTCATTTATACACATGACATATACTATACATATGCACGTATATAATTTCAATGTAAATTGCAGGAAAATGATTGGCTACTGTTCGATTTTCAATTATACGATAATTTCATAGATTTAGTCTGATATTTATCATTAATCCTTTTTTTTACTATTAATTGTTTATTAACTATCATCATTTACATTGTCAATGGATAATTAAGATATTTCATTTACAATCGCGTGTTTATAAGCCGCGATAGTTTCCAACGTTAATTCATCGCGATACTACGATACTACGATCGACAAGAGGACGATGCTTATCATTAATGAACCATTTCCCGACATAGATAGGTGAGCGTACTTAATATTTACCTTTTGATTTTCCTCTGTGCCACTCTCATTCTCCGGATATTCTGAAAAACATACACGTAGTGAAGAAGATATTGATAATAATTCATCTGATACAATTACAAAGTTTACTATCCTACTATTCCGTTTCTTAATCTCGAAGAGTACCAATCATTTTCACGTCGCACAGTGTATTTGTATGAAAAAGTTGGCTAAAATTATTTTACTAATTTTAACAGAGCGAAATGTACTTAGAAATGACGAAACGTAATTACACATGAAAACTCGAAGGAGAATAAAAAATTCAGAAATAAGCCTATTTACATATTATATAGGTATATATGATTTATTTTACTACGAAATTTTCACGTTGAATATTTTAATAATAATTGACAATAAAACAGATAAACAAAAATCCTTTTTATATGGCTTTATGTTTTTGCTTAAATTCTGACGTCATAAAAATGGTCGTCGTAATGTATCATTTTAACAACGTTATAAAAAAAGAAAGCACTTTAATTTTTTGATTAAGTTTATAAAATTTGAATTTTGGTCAGCTTTTCAAATAAAATACTCCACTGTGGGTTGTTACAACTATTTATTCTCGACTCATGTGCATATTTATTATAGAAACGACGTAGAATTCCTTGGAAAATTGTTGGTTTTGCAACACGACCGATTTTCATGTGTACTGGACAAGTTTTCATCCCACGTGTGAACGATGCTATTGGACAATCGTAATTGTTATGAATAAATGCATAAATAACTGCCGTGCTTCGATGTATTTTTAACTCGTGAAGAAGAACCGGTCATATTTAACGATAATCTTAATCCGGTGACGGGGATTAAAGCGTCGGGCTATTATCATTGTTGCGCATTTATAATGATCTTATTGAAATGCCAGTCGAAAGTAACCGGTTATGTCAGTTCGTTAATATAAATTAAGAAGCGCCATGGTAATTTGTTGTTCCCGAATTGGGTCACGGTCCAATCAGGCATTCGAACAAATCGAAAGCAAAACGATTTAACCCGAGTTGCCCTGCCGAATATCGCGTTGATGAACATTGTGCGATAATTTTGAGTAACATCGAACAACGTGGTACGCGGAACGATGTTGTACATTGAACCAAAAAAAAAACAAATATTTGATAAAATTCAACAAAACTTTTATCTTAACGGAAGGTATAATCGAACACAATCGAACATACGATTTTCAACTAGTCGTAATTAAATAATTATTATACATTGCAATAAAGTTCCAAGACTTCGATCTCGAAAATTGTGAATTTCTGCAATTTATCGAATCGTACATTTATGCTATTGGCATGAAGGGGTGCGATATATTTGAACGATGAACATATTGGCAATAAGTTCTAACCTTAGGGAGAAATTTTTTTTAGCCCTTTCAACACGTCGTACTTAATTAGCTATGGAGATATTAAAAAAACCAAGTATATTATTAAAGTATGGATTAAGTACCTTGAATTTCATTGATAGAAGACTTTCTCTCGCCCATGTTTGCCCCCTAATTACTTTAATCGAACCTGTTCCAATAACGTTAAGTCGTCTACTGTTTCGCTTTCTCAATCGTGTTATCTTCTTATGACTATATCTGGCCTTATCAATCGAAACATGCAAGCCAACAATTAATTCTAGAGACGTTTATCTTCTTTGATAGGGTAAAAATTGTTTCAGATACAGGTACACATTTAAAAATTCGTCCGAACTCTCCTCGATATGGACTAAAATCGATTTGATACGATCTCTTCTTTTTACAAACGTCCACGAGGAATTAAACTTATTGGTAGGAACGCGCAGGTGATACAACGTCTTATCGGAAGCAATAAACGATACATTTTTTACATAATCAAAACATTGAAGATACGTATTGAAGTTATTTATTTGCGGTAGAAATATTCGTTTCGCAAGTGCAATATATTATGCGCATTTGTATGTTAATCTTTCCACTTCCGGCGGGGATTTTCGTAAATCGACGAATTTTATCTATATTTTTATTTACAGATAAGCATGAAATACCTCTTGATAAATACGTTTGAAATTATCGAAGGAAGCACGTTGAACTTGCAAGGTGTGATGCGATACGATATAGTTTGAAATTCAAAAAATGAATTATCACGTAGTTTCTGAATTTTTGATCACGTTAAAGAAGTATAGATTTTTTCGTTGCAACAGTAAAGATTAGAATAAAATTCGTCACGCGAGGCGAATTGATAATTAATTACAAGTGTAACTATATGTACACATGTTTTGCAATTTATTAATATTGTATTAAATCTTGTTAGATTAATTGTATTAACATTCTCCTATCACACCATGTTAAAGCTTCAAGAGGAATATATGTAAAGGAAATTGAAGCTGATCCTCGAGGTTGGTCACAGGGGAAGAAACAATGTTAGTTTTGTCCTGTGACCGTATGGAAGGTTCGGCTAATGTTCTACGATGGTTTGTAATAATGGATAATTGCATGTGGTGAAAACATCGAATTTCGGTGAAATAGAACCACGGTACGTGTTGATACATTTGCAAGAAGTGACTATTGTCGGGTTGCGTGCTACTCGTGGAAAGTAACGGTATATTTGTAGAGCTTTCACGTCGAACGCCATCGAATTTGTGATTCTGGATCCACAGTTTCACAGGAGAGGCTCGTCGCCACATAAGAGGACGAGTATTGTTCCGAGTTCACATTATGGGGTTCGATGTGAACCGCTTTCAGGGCGGAGTAGATGAGGAACTTGTTTGCCCGATATGCTCCGGTGTCCTGGAAGATCCTGTCCAGGTATTATTTCTGTTTCGCTCGTTAATTTATCGAATGCTCCGAATAAACCAGTTTTCTGCGTTTACACAAAAACTAACCTAACTTTCCTTCCCTCTTTCTTTCTCTACTTTTATTATTTTATTTTACGTTGATTAACGAGTATTGCCAAATTCATGCAAATGGTCGTTTTCATCTACTGCGCTAAATATCATGATTTATTTTACAGAAAATATTCGTTAGAACTTTGTATTAATTTCATAGTGTCAGCGCTTGAATTTTTATATAACTTCCGTTTTGTCAAAGTGTATGTAACTATACTTTTGGTCTTGTTTGTCCTATAATGAGACAAACACAAGTAAATATTTCTCGTGAATTGTATAAGAGTAATGCATGTTTATTGTGTTTACCTTTAAATATAATAATAAGTTTTGTAACATGTTTAGTTTGGCTTAAAGACTGGTAGGTGAGCAATATGTTGCAGGCACCTGTATGCGAACATGCCTTTTGTCGTACATGCATTAATGAATGGATAAATAGACAACCTACCTGTCCATTGGATCGTACACCAATCACATCAGCTCAACTAAGAGCAGTTCCAAGAATTCTACGAAACCTGTTGGCCCGCCTTTGTATTAGTTGTGATAACATTACTTATGGATGTCAAGTAATAGTCAAGCTTGACAGTTTAGTGTCACATTTGGAGCAATGCGAATACAATCCCAAGAGACCGATGCTTTGTGAGCAAGGATGTAGCCTTATTATCCCTAAAAATGAGTTGAAAGATCACAATTGTGTGAGAGAATTGAGAAACATCATAATTTCACAGCAACAGAAACTTGCCGACATGAAACGTGAATTAGGTGAACAACAACTTCAAATAAACGAGCACAAGAGGGAATTACATCTGTTAAAAGACTTTATGAGAGCTTTAAGAGTTTCAAATCCTGCAATGCGGGCTATTGCTGATCAAATGGAGAGAGACGAAGTTGTAAGATGGGCTGCTACCCTTCCCAGAGCAAGAGTAACTAGATGGGGAGGAATGATCTCCACTCCTGACGCGTCGTTGCAGGTATTGTAATTTATAAACAAGCATTATTTACTGTTAATTAGTTCTAGCAAATAATTATATGTAATATTGTAGACAATGATAAAGAGAACTTTGTCAGAATACAATTGTCCACCTCATGTAATTGGCGAGTTAATGGAAAATTGCCATGAAAGGAAATGGCCTCCAGGTTTAAATTCTCTGGAAACCAGACAAAATTCTAGAAGGCAATATGACAATTATGTTTGCAAAAGAGTCCCTGGTAAACAAGCAGTGTTAGTTCTTTATTGCGATAATACACACATGCCAGAAGATATGATGGTTGAACCTGGATTAGTGATGATTTTTGCACATGGCATAGAATAAAATTTTATAGCAATTTTGTGCATGCCAAGATATTTTGATGTTCATCTATTCTGTTGTTTGTTATATTCACCATGATTAACCTTCAAGGTGTAAAGAATATCTTTGTACTTATGTACAGATACCGGGATATTCGCATAATTTATCTTGCAATTAATAGTGCAGGATTCCTTTTGAAAAGTATTGAAAGGAACAAACGACATGCCTTTTGTGATAAACAATTGTACAGACGCAATTGCCACATACAAAAATCTAATTAAATGTCTGGATCATTACACTGTGATATACTATTTCATTGAAAAGTTCCTGAAATTGTATGATAAATAGTAAGCCATTTTTAGTTGTCTCGAGTGATTCTATGTACATTTCTATAACTTTAATTCTTTGTACAACAACGTTCGACATACCAACTATTTGTCAACTATTTCAGGAAATTTTTTACATATATAGAAGTCTGTAAGTGTTTTATTATAATGCCTTAGACATGTAAGAAACAAAAAGTATAGAAATTATCAGTATGGTAATTGCTACTATTAAGATCTAAATGTGTTCTAAAAGCTAAGTATCGAATGTCTGAAAGAAAAATGTTTTCTTTCTTCCTCTGCGTTATTTATATGATTTTAATAAAACATTTCAAAGTGCGTACACTGAAATAAACATGCTATACAACGATCGTTTGAAGAAATTAATATACTCAGCGAATACGGCCGTAAATATCGTTTAGAATTTGCAAGATAAGAATGTTACGTGGAAATTTTGTGTAGATTTATCATTCTTCCAATTCATTCTTTAACATACGATTAACGAATAATAATTTCAACTAGCAGTCTACGATAATTAATCGAATAGTGCCGAATTTCTTCAGTATCGCCTTATTCGAACTAATTTTGTGAAATGTGTATCTCAAGAAAAGTAACCAATGATTAGTATATGAGGAGCACTTGATTTTTAGGTACTTTTAAATAAATGTATGATAAAATGCTAGTTTTTCGTCTGTGCACAAATACAGAATAAGTTAGCTTCTTGAAATGTGTTATATATCATCGAATGTAAGACGTTTTATAACGTAGCTTCTTATTTCACACACTGCACCGATGCCGATGTACGAAGAAATATTGCATATTTTATTTTCGATATTTAAAGTGTTAATCATGAGTTACTGTTGATTTACGCCTTCACGATTACATATAATTTTTTTAACTTTGTTTACACGACACATTTTTTAATAGCTTAAAAAGCAATTCTAATACATTGAGTATTAAGTAATTGATGTATTTTTCTGAATTTCGTTTTACATGAAATTTCGTGCAGCTTAATACAGATATACAAAATCGAAACATCTTTTCTACAACTTGCTAATATTAGATATCCTTAGCGCTCAATGTATTAAACGTTGAAAATCATATTTTTTTCTCAAAGCTAACGCGTGTACTCAGAGACTGTAAACAATTTTATACACAGGTTGATAGTTGTTATTAACTATAATAAATTTGATTTTATGTATTGTAAGTCATTTAATGTATAGTTTATTTTATTTTAGTCACGCATTAGAATGCTACAGAATTTTCAGGTTCCATTGTGAGAGTGTCACCAAGAAGTATGCAATAAAATCAAATGACAATTTAAACGGATTTACTGCCTTCTCGATTTTATTATTTCGCGACTACAAATTTTCTACGCGCGATAACATCACGATGTGCTTCAAGTGTAATATAAAACAGTCTGTAAATATTTTTCATTATATTACTTTATTCACTTAACTTCTTAATTCGTCTAAATGTTTTTATGTTTACAGAAGAAAAAACAGTCGCAAACTTTTTTTTCCAACGATACTACATAACTTATGACTTTATTATAGTATATAACATATTATTTCTTTGGTTGCGTATTACAATACCTTTTGAACCTTATTTAAAAATCTTGTAATTCGCCTATTATGAATTATAGTAAAATAGCTTACTCGAGTGTGTTAAATAAAACCATTGATGGATGCATAGTAAAAGGGATACGTAAGATCTAGCTTCCACGGTGAAAAACGAAAAGAACGATGATGTTTAGTCTTTTTTTTTTTTTTTTTTTTGTATGTCGAACGAAAGCTTGTACACTTAAAAAAAAAAAAAAAAAATATTTCTTAGAGTATTTCTCAAAAATTCACGTTTAAAAAAAGGCACGTTAGGAATGTTTAACACTTTCCTCGAAAGTCATGAAACGTCGACGGCTATGCCCTGAGATATGGCACTCGATATCTGACGACTCGAAAATTTATCCTCGTTACCAAACAATTTACCTTAGACACTTAAAAATACTAAAAATATACATTTTCGATTAAAAAGGATAAAAAAAAAAGAAATAGAGAGAGAGTGAAATTAACTTAACAGGAGTCTCTTATGAAAAACAAAAGAAAGGTATCGGAAAATTGGCTGGAAAGATCGTCAGAACGATAGGAAAGAATTGCAACGCTCGTGTTAAATGATTTTTAAACGGCGGCCTTGCTTATATCGTTGGACATACGCCAGAGATAACCTGCCCGTAAGCACGTTCCGGGCCCAGAGTGATGGCTTTCATGTTGATGTGTATATTCGTGATACATCCGACGTATTGTGTTTGCGAGGTGCTTCCCCGTAATCTCTTTCCAAGCATCGGGTGACCACCGATAAAGATCGGATGTTTCGACAGAACACCCGCCACGTTCTTCCCACCGATTCCTGGCGCGGCTGCTTTGTGGTCCACCGACAAAAGCACCGCGTTCTTTTGTTTCACAGCTGTGCGAACAAATTTGAAATTTTTATTTCTCGTTCTTACGATATATACTGTACAGCGTCCAACAACGAGAAGAATATACGTTACCTCGAATATTGTGCCAATTACCATCGCATAAAGAATTCAGTTTGGTCGGTTCGAAGGAGGTCTCTATCGAACCCTTCGCCGTTTTAACGAGGAACTTCACGGTTCCGTTGATCATTTCCAAGACTAAATAATCTCGTTTACCGTGAACAGATAGCAAGTGTCCAGATGTTGAACGTGGTTTAATGTCCATTTGAATGTCAACTGTTCTTCCAACGGTGAATTTATCGACTGAAATTTTTGTAGTAGAATTAGAGAGATCATTTTGAAAATTTTCTCCAATATTTGATCGATCGTTTAATCGTATACGCTTTGTACCTGCTCTGAATAAATTGCTACCATTTCCAGGGAAGAAGAATAATCCTGGTTCGACTCGATTCGAGCATGGAATCACACCTACTTTATTTATAGGCTCGCTAACAGGCTGTCCGTTCACCATGAAGTTTCCTAGACATCCGTTGAAGGTGTGATTCATACCCTGAATAATGGATTTTTCGTTAAAAAGGAGAAGAGAAAGAAAATGTTTTTAATACATGCAACAAGAAATATGGATAATTCACTTACGATCATGTTCAGGACTTTGTTGGACATGTCTTGAAGCACTCCGCCAACGTAAAACGGTGGACTGACGCTCATAGTTTCCGTAGGTCCTGGAGAAAATCCGCCAACCGGAGGATTCTCGTCGACGATAAGCTCTCCATAGGTTCCTTGCCTCTTGAACGTCACAAAGTGCCATTGGTTGTCGTTTATTTTCATCTCCTCGACCAGCTGAGCCGGTCCGCTTCCACAATTGAACGTGTAATGAATCTTTCGAGAAGAAGAGGAAGAAGAAAACAGAATATAAAACGGTGTGTACAATCTTTGTAAACTTGTTTACACAGAAAAAGAGAATAACAAAGTTGTTGAAAAGTTTTTTGTTTTGAAACAGACAGACACGCCTGATCTCAAGTATTTCCCTCCCTTTTTTTTTCGTCGTCGAATCAGCGTAGATTATCTCGGAGGGAGAGATAAGAGAACGTAAAATCAGCAATAAGATCACACCTTTCCGTCTCTGACGTACAAAGCGATCATACTCTCGTCGGAAATATCGGACGTGAAGAAAATGATTCCTTCCTCGGCCATCGTTTTCACGTTGATCTGGAAATCATAGTCGTTCCTGTATCTTCCGTTCAACGATCTGTACTCCAATCTGCTGTTTCTCGCCGTACCTGAACCAGAGAAAAAACGTACAACGAATCACGCGTTGAAATCTTGTTCGTGGTTCGCTGGTAGGAGTAAGAGGAAAAATGTGATACCGAATCGCCAGGTATGTTCCAAGTTTGGATCGACAGCTGGATAATAAGGCAACCGACACTGATCCACGTGTAACGGCGTTGTTCTCTGCGTTGAAGTGGTTGGCTCTAAAGTGGTAGTTAATTCATCGTGGTAGTTTCCACGTCCTTCTATGGTAGGCTCGTCCTCGTCTACATCCTTATCCAAATCAACATCGATGATGTCTGACGAAGTTCAAGTAGATTCAAGATTAGATTAGATACACCCGGCCTTCTTTATTATCGTTTATTACAATTTACTCACTAATCTGCGTAGATATTTCAATATTGTCGTCTGGACTTTCTGTGGGCAACAGAGGAGGCGGGATGTCTGTTTCTAGGCCAGGAATAGCTGGTAGAGCTATTACGGTAGATAAATTAGGTTAAAAACACCGTTTTCGTCCGTTTTCAACGAACACGTTCGCTGCCACCGGAAAAATTTACAATCTCAGGCGATACACACTGGACCGCATATGTTGCGTCGATGGCAGTGTGAGCAAAGTGTCTCAAATGTTTAGAATAATCAAAGTAAAACGAATATCGTCGTTGCAGCCCCCTGAAGGAAACATGTCAATCCGGCGTGGCAGTGAACGCGTTAAACGAAAAATACTCACACGGCGGATCACCCAGTTTGCATTTTCCTAAAAGAGCGTGAAGCCTCTCTGTCGTGTTCGCGAAATTAATAATCACTCCGTTCAACGTCGCATCCCCTATGCAACCGACGAACGGCGTCATAGCGCCTGCTGGAGGGATACCAAAGGCGGCTGGTAAACCTCCGATGTACAAACTGCCGTAAGGTATGTTCAACGCAGGTGGTTCTAAGTCAGAGCTGTAATTCTTCGTGTCGTCGATGTCCATTTTCAGAGATTCCCGCGAATGAGTGGCGGTGACTACGTGCCATTCGTTGTCGTTGAACTTGATACCAGCGGAACTTGTTCGTAGCTCTTCGCCCTGACTGTTGAAGACGAGGACACCGTCGATTACAGACAGATAACTGACTACACCCTTCTCGTGGTCGGTTACGTAGAAGATCAGACCGTCGTTCGCTAGGGTCTTGAATTTCAAGTTCACTTGAAGAACGTCAGATACGGAGATATTGTGCCATCTCACGTAACCAGGTGTGCTCTCCTCGAAAGACACCAAGCTGGCGAACTAAACAGAAATATCACAACGATTCGATCATTTTTACGATTAACGGTGTAATTAGAACGACATGATTTTACGTGAAATAGTAGGATTACCCGAACTGGACAACCAGGTACCACGCCAAACGCTTGAATGTTACGCGTCAGGTCGACTATAGTATCTAAAATGACTACATCGTCGATGCAACCTTCGAAACCGTCGTTGCTCACAGGATCGTAAGGATGTCTAGCGTTCGGCGGATATCCTCCGAAGTAAATGTTATCCGAGGACACTAAATTCTTCGTGTTTCCTTCCGCTTTGCTCTTCACGACATCCACACCGTCTACCTTCAGAACGCCCATCTTCTCGAACCTAAGAGCTTCGACGTTGTGCCAGTTTCCGTCGTTGTATCTGTTCGTGGATTTCAGACTGGTCTCTCCTTCTCCTAAGTCGTACTGATAAAGCACGTGGCCGTCCCTCATCTCGAGAGACAGGAACTGTTTACCTTTACCCATTAAGTAGATCAGTCCGTTGTCCGTGAACGTCTTGAAGTTCAATTTAATGCTGAACTTCTTGCTGTCCGGTGAGATCTGCAAGGCTCTCTTGCTCAGAATCGCGTATCCGTGGCTGTCGAATCTGTAACCGGTGCTTGGTTGGAAATTCACCAATTTATCCCTCTGGGCGGCGGTATTTTCGTTATTCTCTCCGTCGACAAAGTTCCAGAAAGACACCGGCGTGTCCTCTCCTATCACGAGCTCCTCCATTTCACCCTCGAACGAGGACGCTGTTACCGCGTTCTGCATGTTGAACGACGGTGGATAACCGCCTACGAATAGCTTCGAGTGTTCTTGATCCAGGTTAAATATCGAATAAGATCCAGGCAAAACGTGTCCTTTCTCGTAAAGTCGATCCTTCCCTTCGCCGATATCCTCGCGAACGATCAGCTTCACGTTTTTACCAGTTCTCTCCACGATTATCTGCCTCCATACGTTATCCGACACGAATTTGTCGTTGATGATCTTCTCGGGTCCTGATCCTAGGTCTATGATAAGCACCGGGTACCCACTTTCGATCAACAGAGACATGAAATCGTGGGTCTTCGAACGCGGTAGCTTCGCGTTCTCCTCGTTTCCTAGATACAGCAAGAAACCGTTGGTTGTGTTCGTTCGGAAGTTGAGCGATATCTTCGTAGACGTAGCCAACAGAGGTAGATTCTCCGGGTTCTTCAACTCGAGCGTGGTGTTTCTGTAGAAAGTCAGCCCGATGTCGAAACGATCCGCCAATTCTCTAGCATTCGAGATCTTGTTCTTCAACGCCTCGATCTTACTCTGCAAATCGTTCCCGTTGCTCTCTATGGACTTTTGGTTCGTGTTCAAGTCGTTCAACAAGTTCGCCATGTTCGGGAGATACTTGTCGATCATGTCCAACTGTTTCTTCGCCTGCGATATGTCGCGGATCGATTCCGAAATGTCCTTCGACAGCCGTTTCGCTTCTTTCAGATCCTCCGGGATTTTATCCACGATCCCGTTCATGTTGTTCACAGAGGATCTCAGCTTCTTCTCCACCTCTATCGCCTCGTTCATCGCCTCCTGAGCCACCGCTGCAGACGGCGATTGCATACTCTCGAGGATCTTGTCGATGTAATCCAACAGATCTCTGTTGCGCGTATTCACACTGGAGATAAAGGCAGCTTCCAGTTGAGCGTTGCTCAAATCCAACTCGGGTTTCCCCATTGTCTTCGACAAAGTGTTATTAGCAGAGTCTAAGAGATGCAAAGACGCGCTTCGCGAATTCGACATCCTCTGTCCGATACCGTCCGACAGCAGGGTCGCGTTGTCTGCTGCGTTACTGGCCTCTAACGCGGCCTCGCGAGCAGCCTCGATCGCGTTTCCAATGTTCCTGTAAGCGGAAACTGCTTTCACAGCGTCGGTGTTCCTCGTGTCGGTCAAAAGACTGTCCAATTCCAACGATCGATTGTAAAGACTGTCAGCGTGGTAGTACGCGTTCTGGACCGGAGATACCAGACCCTCCAGCATCAGTTCGTTCTCCAGAATGGTTCTGTTCACCAGTTCCGTAGAATTGTCTATCACACCTTCTCTCAAAATCTCGAAGTTACGCTCTGCCTCGTCGATATACTGGTTGGCGTTTCTGCTTAACTCTTGTCCAGCGATCAGATCTTCCTTCGCCTCTGCTGTAGCGTTCTTCACGATGTCGAAGTTTCCAGTGTCTGCGGCGATTCGATTCTCTTGATTCAATCTATCCACCGAGCTAGCCAACTCCTGAGCCTTCCAAGTGATCTCGAGGAGATCGTCCAACTTGTCGGACAAGTTTCTGACCTTTCCGCTCAAATGATCGGCGAGATCGGACAGATCGCTGACCGGTATATTGTAGTCGAGCATGGCCGAGACGAGAATGTTGGCCTGATCGGCTTGATCGGTCGCGCGATCTCTGAAATCGATGAAAGACACGTCCTGGATCTTCTTCAGAATTTCCGTAGCCTCTTTCAAAGCATTCTCCACCTTGGCACCTGTGCCTAGCTCGATGTTCAACGCCAAAGATTTCACCTCGTAAATGGTGGTATTAACCAGATCTATCTCTTTCATTACTTCCGCTTCCAGCAAGTTCATATCCTCCAAATTATTCTCCGCGGCGAGTTTCCACTTCACGCTGTCCTCCGCTGTGTAATCTATCTCGCGTTTCTGATTCGACACTTCCGTCTGCAATCTTTTCACTTCCTCCTGAAGCGGTAAGAAGTTCACTCTGCTGGGATCGAGAAGCTTCACCTCGGGATACAAGTCGTTCACGGTGTCGTTGATGAACTTCAATCTCTGATTCGTGAAGTAGCTCTCGGCTACCGTGTTGAACTCATAGAACACAGTGTCCAGTACGCCGGACATCTCGTCCGTGACGTCCAGCAAGTTTCCAGTGCAAGAGTCGCAAGCGAAGCAACCTTGTCCAGGGATCAACACGTTCCTATACGGACAATGGTCGCATTTCTCCCCGATAACGCCCGGTAAACAGCTACACTGTCCCGTAGTGGTGTTGCAGGACACTCCAACGGAGTATCCGATGTTACACTCGCAAGAAGTGCATCCTTCCGTTCCGTAATTCCAATATCCAGCGATACACTGGTCGCATCTGCGTCCAATCACGCCAGGCTTACATCTACATTGTCCAGTTGTCTCGTCGCATTGGCTACTGTTAGAGGCGATTCCACAGTCGCAAGCTCTGCAACCGTCGCAGGTGTCGTAGCCGTAGTGATCGTCCGCGCAACGATCGCATTGTTCTCCGATCACGTTCTCGCGACAGTGACATTGGCCGGAATAACTGTCGCACTTCTCCATTCCACATTCGTCGCAGGTACAGCTGCGACAATCTTTCCTCTGGATAGCATCACCGAAGAAGCCCGGTGCGCACAGGTTGCAAGCTTCTCCGTAAGTGTTGTTCAAGCAGTGCAGACACTGTCCAGTCCTCGAGTCGCAGGAGCCAATCTGATTGGTGTCGATGTTACCGGAGCATTGGCAAGGTTTACAATCGTCGTCTATGGTCTCGGGATTCCCGTAGTAACCGGAAGCGCAGACCTCGCAGCGAGCACCGTAGTAACCGGGAAGACAGTCGCAGCTTATCTTGTTCCCCTCTTCGTTCACCTCGCAACCGGTGGCGAAATTGTTGGACGGCATAGGCAGAGGACAGGCGCAAATCAGACAATCCGTTGGTGTTCCTCCTGTCGCGTTGCCGTAGTAACCTTGTTCGCAGTACTCGCAGTGATCCCCGACTGTACCGTCTTTGCAGTCCTGCGAGAGAGAGAACGATGTAGGAACGGTGAAAGAATTGATCGTATAGGTACCGTTCGAAAAAGAATAACTTTTTTCAAATTGGACCGAAGGACTTGAGATTTTTTAGAAAATTTTGAAAAAAGTGAAGAAAATTGTAAAGGTCGCTTTTTACAACTTTTTTTTATCTGAGATTGTAACGAACATTTTAAAAATACGATTTGTAGATTTATATCAATTATATAATTTTCGTGGAAATTTTAAAAAGTTTCAGTGAAAATCGCACTATTTCACTCCTCTCGGTCTATAACTAATAACTCTGAAGATTCTTACATCTTTCGATGCCTGTCGCTTGTTTCTCCATTTACCGATTTCGACGAAATTTTCTGCATCTGTATAATAGACATAAATTTACAAACCGTATTTTTAAAATTTTCATTACAGGCTCAGACAAAAAAAATGTTGAACAAAAGACGAATTTCAATTTTTCCAAAATTTCTTGTGCACGTCGTTTAGTACACTAATACTAATTTCCCCAAAAAAGCTCAAGTCGTTTGGTCCAATTTCAAAAAGTTATCCTTTTCCGAAGGATACACGATCAATTTCTTCACTCGCTGTATTTCCTCGAAACTAGAAGGATCTATTAAAGTAGATCGTTACCAAACATATTCCAGTTTCGACGTCGCAAGTGTCAGCGTGGCCGTTGCACTCGCAGCGAACACAGTAGCCTCCGTGGAGTCCAGACTCGACTTTGTAGTAACCTGGAGCGCATTCCTCGCAGGAGAGACCTTGATAATTCGGCGGACATTGACACTGTTCGACGCTGCTGGCTGGAACGTGAAACTGAGGCGAATAGATCTCCGTAGTGACGTCTAAAGTCACGTACGACAAGGAAGCTTGTATACTGGGGTCCCAGTAAGTAGCTCTGATAAATATCCCTCGAAGATTCTCGAGAACCACCATCAGCTGTTCCCTCGTGGCGCTCAGACGATTCTGCGTGTAGAAGTTCGCCTCGATCAGTTCCAAGGATGATTCGAAATTCGTGAACGAGGGTGGTTGCTCCTCCGCGTAATAGAAGAGCGTAGTTTCGTCGCCTTGAAGAATCACGTCGGCCGCGCTAACCGCGTTACCAAACGGTCCGGTGCTGTAGTAAACCGTGTAATTGAAGACTCCTCCGTAAGAAGTCAACATCTTCCCCAAATAAGTGTCCGGCGCGACGAAATAGACGACTTTTCCATACGTGTCGTTGTACGTGAGCTCGATTTTAATGCTGGTCTCGTTGAACTCCTGAGGAATCGTCGCCAGGAACGTCATGTTCCCACCCTTCTCGTCGAACACAGTTAAATCCCAGCCGGTTAAATCCGTCACGTGAGTCCTGTAGAGATTCGCAGACGCGCATCTGCTGGTCTTCCCGAAGCAGAAACACTTGGTACAGCCTTCCTCGTTGTTCTCCTGGATGTTGAAGGTGCCTTCTTTGCACACGTCGCAGGCCAATCCTTGAACGTTCGCCTTGCAGAAGCATTCGGCCGTGTACTGGTCGCAGATATCCGCGGTGGTTCCTCTCACGTCGCAGTCGCACTTCTCGCAGTGCGGGAACTGAGAGTAGCCTGGACGACACTTGTCGCACTGTCTGCCTACGACGTTCTCCTTGCACCTGCAGCTACCGTTCAGAAGATCGCACTGCATGTCTCCGTTGATCACTCCCGCGGGAGAGCAGTTGCACTCCTCGCAGCCGATTATCGGATGGAATCCGTAAGTTCCAACCTCGCACTGGTCGCAACGTTCGCCGGTGACTCTCGAAGGACAGATACAGGCGCCTGTTCCCGGCTCGCAGAGAGCTGTGCTTGGACAGTTGCACGGTCTGCAATTGGGGAAACCGTAGAATCCCGTCTTACAGATCTCGCAACGTCTCCCGATGATGTTGGGCTTGCACGGACAATTCCCGCCGAATTTCTCGCACTCGAAGCTTATCGTGCCGTCGATGTCGCAGTTGCAAGGCAACGCGCGATTGTTGTAGTTGGAGGTTAGAGAGAATATCGAGTCGCGACAGAAACCGTCGTCGGTGATGTTGATGTGGAAATGATTGTAGCCGCACTTCTTGATGAACTCTTTCGTCTGATCGAACTGGATCTTCTTCAGGATCTTCTCGTTGTACTGCTCCGTTGGGATAACCAGGATGTAGTCCAGCCAGATACCGTTACCGCTGCTCTCCTTGAAGGTGATCATGAAGTTCTCGATCAGCTGGAACCTGATGTTGCCGTCGGTCTGTTTCACCACGCTGCGACAACCGCTGTTGCTTGGACAGTGGGGAACGGACATCTTTGCTTCGTAGAATTTACCGTTCTGCACTAGAACGTCGAGCTCGTACTCTGGGTAGTCCGGTTGATAGTACTGCACGACGAAGATGTAGTCCCCAGGCTGTGGGACCTTTGCGTGGATATCTACCATGGTGTCCGTGTCGTCCAGATAGATCAACTTCGTCCCGTTGTCGTAGATACCGAAAGGCCTGTTCTCGGATTCAGGAATCGTGCTGTTGCTTTCGAACTCGATCTTCTTCGCGTCTGCTGCTCCGGGGAATTGACCTTTCACGCATTTTCCGTCTTTCCTCACGCATATAGATTTCGGTTTCACGTAGTCCAAGGACCACTGATGATAAGGAATAGCGACGACTGAGTCGATCGCGACGTTCGAACCTGGTTCCCCGGTTAGAATCAAACTGATGTAATTACTGTGAAAATTCATCGCGGCTACTCTGTCGTAGGTATCGGTGACCACCTGTCTGCAAACGCTGGTGTACTTGCAAGGATACAGAGTAGCCTTTCCTCTGCCAACGGTGTTAGCCTCTATGAGCAGGGTAGACGTGGTGTTCTCATTTTTAGGCGTAACATACGTCACTAGCAAGACATGCGGTTCTGGCTTGGCAATTCTTAGATCGAAATGTATCTTTCCCTGCGCGTCGTTGATCAACGGAACCTCGTCTCTGTCGATTTCACGCAGGATATCTCTGTCGGTGAAATACTCGGTCAACGGAATTCTCACGTTGTTCTCGTTGAGGAATCCGCCAGCTCCGCGAACAGAGTCGAACCTCATCAAATTAGGATAACCGTAGTGTCTGCAGAGTCCTTTGTAGCCAACCTCGCAGGGAATATTCACGTCCTGTGTCAAGATCGTTGCTTCGTAATATTCAGCTGGTAGTAGAACGAAGTAGTCGAGGAACAGGCTCTTCTTCGTAGTGATACTAATCGACCATAATCCGGGATTCATCACCATAGGCGAAGGCAGGTTACCCTGAGCTCCTGCTACAGTCACGAACGACGGTTTCACGGTCGGCTTGAAGATCACCTTGAATTGTTGTTGCACCTCGGACGGATTCTCCGGAGTAATGGTGATCGTGCCGAGAATAGGCTCGTTGTTCGGATTCACATATTTCAGAACCATTCGGTACAAGGACGATTTCTGTATGTAAACGTCGAGGACGATCTCGTCCTGAAGAGCAGAGAAAACAGCGTATCCTTTCCAACTGTATCCAGGAAAGTGTTCCTCCGTGAAACCGTAACGAACAGGACTGTTGCTAGGCGTTCGGCCGTCTTCTGCCTCGTATTGGAACTGATGAAGCGTCGGGAAATAGTGAGTTTTCAAGGGTTGCTTGCAGGTGAGACCGGTGACTCGTGGCTGACAAGGACATTGTCCCGTTAGCTTGTCGCACACGGAACTCACTGAACCGCCGATGTCGCAGGCGCAATCTGAGGAGGAACACTCGTGTAACTTACCGAAAGAAATTTGCTCACCGACGATCTATCTACCTGTACAACCGAAGAAATTGCTCTCTTGAAGATTGTACGTCCCGTCCACGCACTGGTTGCAACTTCTGTCCGACACTCCGGGTTTGCAGATACACTGGCCGGTCTTTGTGTCGCATTCACCGATGTTTCCGATCACGCCAGGTATGTTACACTGGCACTCTTCGAAGGGAGAATCGAGAAATACCGTGCAGCTATAGATTCGGTGTATCGTTGAGATTTACCTGCGTGAACTTACCTTCGCAACCGTAAGGATTGTAAGACTGCAAGTTCCAATAGAGCGGCTTACACTCGTTGCATATTCTTCCCTCGACGCGATCCTTGCATTGACAGAGTTCACCGGCTGGCAGGGTGCCGCAGCCTTGAAAGGTCTCGAGGATACCTGCCGGGTCGCAGTTGCATCCCTCGCAAGTGGGGAAGTTGTAAAAGCCCTCTTTGCACTGGTTGCACGTGAACCCGTCGAAATTCTCCCGGCACTGACATTTGCCCTCCGCGTCGCAGGACGCGCCGATCGAGCCGTGGCTGTCGCAGTTGCAGGCTGAACGATCGCAGGGTTTTTCACAATTTTTGTTAGACAGAATTGTTGACACATTCGCGGCGGGAGACGTGGTCCTGCGTCGTTTCCAAGTCTTTAGCTGAATACGGGCAACGTGGTCCTACGTGATTTCAAAATTGGGGGCAGAACCTTGCTGTACTCAATTTCTGTTAAATTTACCAAGGAGCAATCTATCGGCCAATTTTTAGACAGTATTAAGCTTTGCGTTGCAAGTTCAGCTACAGACTTTTGGAAATGATACGCCGTATTCAGCTAAACGTTTTGTCCGGTTATCGTCCGTCGCGAAAGTTAATAACAGAGGAGTTACAGGAAGTCGTAAATTTCGAACGACCCGACTGAATAGAGAAAAGGTGGCCAAAAAGATGATCGACCATAAGTCTACTATGTCCACGTAAAAAGGTGGAGCTTGCACCTGTCCTCAATATCGGTCTAACAATAAGGAGTAGAACCTTTTGGACGGTGAAAATTCTACCTCAACCATTAGCGCATATATCTTGCCGGCAAACCCAGAATTAACCAGCATTCCTAGGCTAGGCTATTTGAACGAGAGTGGGAGGGGAAAATACTATAATATCCGCGACTCAGCTTGGATGCAGTTAGTTATAAATAGAGAATCTCGTACCTATGCATTCTGGATACATATAATAACCAGGGCTGCATTGGTTGCACGTCCTAGCAGCGAAATTACTCAGGCAAGAGCATTTTCCTGTCGCGTCGCAGCTCACTGTCGACGAGCCTATCGTGCTGCAATTGCACGGTTTGCAATTAGGGTATCCGTAGTATCCGCTGATGCATTGGTCGCATCTTGGCCCGCCGTATCCTTCCTTGCACAGGCACACTCCGTTCGATTTGTCGCAAACTCCTGGCTCCGTTCCGCGTGTGTCACAGTTGCAGACTTCAAAGTTACGTTGACGATTTTTGAAAATTAGTTAAAAAAATAACGAATAATCTATTCTTAACCCTTTGCGGTCCGAGTAGTCCAGGTTCAATATTTCAGCGTAATATTAGTTAATAAATATTGTATTATAAAATATTGACTCTTTGAGCGTTTCGGTCGGCGTCACACTGACGTGACTTCACTTTTTGCCTTTTTTGGCTGTAAAATTGAACATAAGTGATTGGTATTCGACGTATTTTTCTCAAAAAGTGTATCGTAATTACACTCTGAAGACTGAGCGAAAGACTGAGTTTTTCAGCGAAATGTGCGGACGTGAAAGTGTCAAACTTTAGTATAACATTAATGCACAAAGCAATGCTTTGTTATCGTCTATAATTTATAATTCATCGTTACACGATACTCGAAGGCACAAATTCGAGTCTGCCTCGACACAGGACCGCAAAGGTTCAAATATCATCCTATGAACTTCTTTAAAATGCTCACAAGTGCACTTAGGGTACTTGTAGTAGCCATCCTCGCAAATATCGCAGGTTCTCCCTCCGTAGTTGTTCTTGCAGGTGCAGTTTCCGGTGACCACGTCGCATTTTTCGGAAAGGGAGCCCAAATGATTGCACTCGCAAGCTACGAATTTCAACAATAATAAAAAACAATTTTTCCATATTTTCGAAGGATTCGGTTAAAAGTCGCATCGCTCACGTAAACATCGAGGAAAGTCGTAGTATCCCTCTGCGCACAGGTCGCAGTAGTGACCCGCATAGTTGGACTTGCAAGGGCAAGAGCCATCGATCGCCTCGCAGTGATCGCCGTCCGTTCCGTTTCTGTGACACTGACACGGGACACATTTCGGGAATCCGTAGTATCCGAAGCTGCAACTGTCGCAGTCGGGCGCGGTGTACTCCTTTCGGCACTCGCATTTTCCGCTCGCATCCGCGCAATTTCCGGTCGAGTAGAACCAGTCACAGTCACACGCTGTGGGAGAGAGCGGAGAATTTTTTGGACGATATCTGGTGGAAATGAGGAAGAATGTGTGTGTAAGGGAAACTCACGTTGGCATACGTCTGTCGCGTTCAAAGGCTTGTCTCGAGGTCTGTAGAACTTTTCTTTGCAACGATTGCAGTTGATTCCTTCGGTGTTGTGCCTGCAGTTCATGCACACGCCACCACCTTCGTAGTTGCCGTGGATGTCCAGGGACAAGTGCTTCTCGTCCACTTCCGGATCGTAGCCGCACTCGTCCGTGTGGCCGAAACAGTTGCAAGCTGAGCGGAAGAATTTTTTATTTAATAGAACGTCCTCAAATTAGGTCGTCCTCGTAAGTTCGTGTCGAATTTCTATAATTTAGTTAGAATTTTAAATTCATTTGGTTCATTTATATTTGTAATAGTTCATTTTTTAATTTGAGAGAAAAATTGTAAGCGCCTTCTCATTTCACAAGTTTCTGCTTATTCTTTTTGGCGAGACCGTTATATCGTCGCTGTAGAATTTCCTTGGATCTTCGTTGAAATAAAAACTTACGGGAGGACCTAATGCATAAGAAGACGAGATTGTCGAAGAATGATTCTTACGTTCACAGGTGAATTTTTTAAACGCAGTGGACTGTCGCCACTTCTTCTGCTCGAAGCCTTTGCAACAAGTCGCGCACTGAGGTCCGCATGTGTTGTGTTGACACTTGCACACGAGTTTCTTCGGCAACTTTGGATCGAGTATGTCGCATGTGTCCGCGTGGCCATTGCACATGCATCGACCACCGATACTGATATCTTTGATCGAATAAAAGTACTGGAAAGAACAATTTGAACGATTTGAACAATTGTACCCTCTCTGTCTTCGTTTCAAAGACACTTACTCTCCTGGTAACGGTAGGATCCTCTTGTACCAAGGACATCAAATGTCCGAGCAAATTCTTCGTCCTCAGGAAACGGAAACGAACGTTCGTAGCTCTGGTCCATTCTTGCAAAAGCGTAGAATTGAAGTAATTCTTCGCTGATGGACGATTGTTCAGAATTGAAATCGGTATTTCTCCACCCTCCAACGGCACAATCTGAGAGTACTCCAGCGTGCAGATCACGCTGTCGTCTCTGGTGATTGGCTTGTAACTGTCCACACCGAAGAAACTTAAACAATCGCTGGCTGTGTCGGAGAAATATTGCCAAGCAGACCAGGTCTTGCCGTAATCTTTCGATTTCTCGAGCGCCCAAACTGCAGGTCTCGGAGAGTTCGCCATTTTTACGTACACGTACGCCACGTGAAACTCCTGCGAAAGAAATTTTCTCTCTTCTCTTCTCTCTTTCCTATTTTTTTGTAAAGCTAGGATAATTTAGGAGAATTTGCAATAATTTGCAAAATAAGTGTCCACTTTCAGGACGAAAGGTGGAGAGCTAATTAAAATTGTCGTTGTTTCCTGGAGCAGAGGATTTGATTTCGTGTTCGCGTGGGACTTGCTTTTCCAGAGCGTGTAAAATGCGGCGAGGTCGAGAGAAAAAGCGAGGACTGAGGAACACATGTGTCGTTGTTGGTCTTTGCGGAGCATTACGATCGTGCCTTCCACCGAAATTCCCGGGCACACGTGGTCGAGAGGAGCGCGTACGATAGAAAGAGGACGTTTGAGAGCGGCGTAAATGAGTCCTTCTTAGAAGCTGTTTAGCGAAAAGACAATAACCCCTGGGGCTGCAAACGTGAATGTGCATTAACCGTTTCGTGTCTGTTTAGTCACTTATATACAGTTAGTTGCTCAGTTTCAGAATCGCTAGAGACACTTTCGATCTTACTTTTTTCACGATTCTGAAGAAAAATCAGGGAATTTCTTTCTTTAATTAATTCGTAAGAAGGAATATCTATGCGCTGGTTATGTCCATTTACCCCAATCCCTAAAACTCGTGTTTTCTATTGTCCTCCGGAAGTAATGCGAAGATAATTCTTTCCCGCTTTGCAGGAAAACGCCTACCGCGTGATAAAGCAATTCGTTACAGATAAAATACTTATTCCACAGTCCCGTTGTTTCCTGCACGCTGTCAATTCTCTCTTTCGACACTCTTATTTCGCACTGTTTCGCTACTAGATCCAACCGAATATAGACAAATTTGCCAAGTACCTCTTTGTCTTTCTCCGAGAATCACCTTCGAATTTTATTTCTCATCGATCCAACGAAATATAGACAAATTTGGGGATCATTTATTTCTCAGAGGATCACCTTCCAAGTATCTGTTTCGCAAACTTTTTTTCGCGACAACTTACTTGTCCAAGATTAATCGTCAGAATCACTTCGTTGTACTTGACTCCTCTGGACAGAGGCGGCGATTGCCACCAGGTTTCCATTCCATCGACCGCATACTCCGGCGGATGCCTCTTTTCCGGGTTGTCCGCGTCGCAGTAATCGCATACCTGTGTACACGTATCGTCCACATATTATATTTCACTCCCTCAGATTCTATCGAAGAGAAGGAGGAGGAGGAAAGGCATTCAAAACGAAAGAAGCATTGTGACCTAAATAGAACGAGTTCAATCCTCGTTACCAATTTCTAATCGTTACCACATATTCAGTCTATGTTCACATCTATCGATATCCAGTTCAACGACCTAATCTCTGAAATTTCAACGATAAAAACAAATCCTACAATCCTAACCAAGATTTCCAAAAACGTGAATAAATACGCGCGGAGTTTGCAAGAAGGTTCCTACGTAGAAATTGGACGAGGATTTCTTCTTTTTCTTCTTTTTTCAAGAATCTTTGTGGGACACTCGTGTCAGTTCGACCGCACGGAATTTGAAAAGACAAGATGGTCAAGTGTTATCGAGAGGTCACCCTTATCGTGAGCTGCTTATCGGCCCACTCACTTCTCTAGTCTACATGGCGTTTTCTTTCGCCCGTATAAATAGATACACGTAACGCGGTACAATCGTGTGGCCATTGACCATTCCTGGGGGAACCTCGATTTATGAATCGTCCAATAATTATCGATCATAGGCTCTCTAATCATAGGCTCTCTAATCGGAAAAAGAAGACGAAATGCGGTTAATAAAATATCAAAGGATCTTCTCGAGTGTTGCACGAAATCGGTCGTCTAATTTATTACTTCCGGTTTGATTAAGAGGACCCGGTTCTGCGATACACTACCGAGAAACACGAGTATTGTACCCATTTCTTTTTAACGTCTCGTTCGAATATTTGACCATTTGACGGAGGGAAATCAACGTCGTTTTTCGATCAAAAGCTATTCTAATCTGGACTGAATTTAGCGGAAGGAGGGCTTGAAATATTTTCTCACGTCAATGTCTAAGGGTAATTTTCGATGAATAGGACTACTACAATTATCTTCTCGGATTACCACGACAATCTACATATAACATTACTCGCGTACCGAGAAACTTTGCTTCGTCGTCGGAAGGGAGATTAAATACCGATAGAACGAAATTCGATCGAACGTTGGACGAATTGCATTGGTGATTTCAACGGGGAAATAATTGAATCGAGACACATGGCTCGAATTCGTTCGTTGTTACTATTAGCTGGTCGATTAATGAAAGGCGTTCTTTTACGTACGACTTCATTCACGCTTCTTCGTATAAACGATTACTATCGTCTTCCCTTATCTCTGTTCCAACAGCGACACTATTATGTATTAACTCGAACAAATTCATCGAACGATTGAACAAATTGTTAGGAATAAATCACAAAATGACTGAATTTCGTTTTTTCACTCTCTACACCGAGAGAGAAGGAAAGGAAGTCGTATGTACAAGTTGAGTAAGCGGTCGGTTTGTCCGGAGATTGATAAACTCTTGGACTGAAAGGACCAAATATACATAGATAAAAATTGGTTCGAGACCGTCTATTCGAAAAACGTCGTTCTCCGATAAAAAGCATCGGAATAATCTTCGAAAGCTACAGTTACAAAACACCGAATCCGAAATTTCGCCCTTATATTCGACCGATCTATCATTCACTGAAGAATCACTGAAGAATATCAATTCCACGAGGCTGAAACCACAAAAAGGAGTAAAACCGCGGATCGGGGGGAGAGGCAAGGAAGAAAATCTACACACACAGACACAGGGATGATCTAAAATAAAAGGTAACGCATCGGTGTATATACCAACCTGACCCTGTATCAGATTAATGTCCTCGTGTTGATCGGCGTTCGCGCCTACCAGCTTGCAGTAAAGTTCCGGTCCGGGGGTGTCTACGCCACACGTGGCCGACGCGATGATCTCCTTGCCCTCGGCTAAATTAAAATACGGCGGCGTCAGGATCTCGTTTCTCGTCTGATGGACCAACAAGCTGGCCAACGAGCCGAGTAGCAACCACCTCGCCATCCTGACAGTGGAGAGATCGGGCCCGCCACCGTCCTCGGCACTTCCTTCTTCCTCCTCTTCTTCTTCTTCGTCCTTTAACCACGACGACGTGTGTGCCTTCTTCTCTCGAAAACTATCGTTTCTCTCTTTCTCTCTCTTTCTGTGTCTCTCCCTCGCTCCGTTTCTCTCCTTGGGAGAATGCGGCGAGAGAGACGCGTTAAGATGTTGATGATGCCTGAGCGGCTACTCGGTGTAGACTGACAGGCCGGAGGTCATCGAGGACCGGCAGCCTGTGGTAGAGGGGCAGTGGGGGTGGTCTGCGAGCTCTAGAAGGATGATCCACACACTTCCACACCATATGCTATTCCGTACCCCTACGCACACACACACACACACACACGTGTAGAGAGTGCATGCACGATAGAAACCACCATTGTCTGCTCTCCTCTTTCTTTCGACATCTTCCGAGCACACTCGGTCTCACCGCTCTCTGCCACCACTATTCGCGAACAGACGAATTCGAGCGAGAGCCGCGCGGTAGTGTTTCTCGAACGCATTTTTCCTGGTACGGGACGTAGCTTCTTTCTCTCCCGCTCGTTTTTCGTTGAACCTTCGCTTTTTGCTAATTTCAATTTTTCGCTGTTTTCGCCGTGATAGGCGCTAATCGAGCCTTCGTAGGGTACAATGAGAAAATACAGCGAAACGAGGAGAAATTTGTCACGTACCGCTCGATAAGAAGGTCCAGTACGGGGTACCATTGAAACGTCTAAAAATAGGAAAGTCCTGAAAAAACGACGATTGTTGGGAAAGTATCTGAGTACTCGACGACATTGGTCCTCTTCGAGGAATTTTATTTGTGTAATGGGAGATATCTGCCGCGGGAAGAGAAACGACACATGATTCAGGGGGAAGTTATGAATGGAGTGTTCGGTTCGAGTTTAATCTGTAATCAGTTTTTATTCGGTACGAGTATTCCTTTACATATATTCACGTGTGTGTGTGTATATATATATAAACTCTCGTTGTTTCTTCTGGAACAATTACTCAACTGCGTTCGTAAGCTTAAGTGTAGAGTTTAACTAGTGTAACGCGGTTATTGCACGGTATTGCACGTTCTTCTTCATTTCTTCGTCGATTAAGTAGCAAGCGGGAAAATCCAACGGCATGTGAATTTGACTAGATCCGTATCGTGGCACTGAGTCGTGTTTGAGCTTGTTTAATCTTGCTTCACCCGGTTCCATCTGTAGTAAATTGCGGAGAACATGATGCTCGAGCTGAGGATCACGGAGATACTGAAATTTCCTAGTAGCAACCTGTCCGCCGAGTCCATCCATATAGTAAATACTCTCGCTACAAATGAAAATGTATATATATATTTTTTACTAGAAAATTTTCAACGTTCGTTCGGTATCTCTTTTTTCCTTTTTACCGATCACTTACTTAAATTAGTGAACGCAGAGATAAACCAGGTAATTGGCGACACTGTGTCCGCGTTTTTCGCTCGAAATATTGCTACCAATTGAACTACTTTACTCGAGAACGAAATAGGTGTACACAACGGCTATAAATCGTGGAACGATAAATAATTATTGTAGAGTCAATAGTAGGTATTTTTAATTGATTGTTCGTTTGGTCAACTAACCGCTAAAATTGTAAGAGCAGCTTTTGGAATTAGTTGCATGGCAAATGAGATACTTAGAAGAAAGTAGAATACTGAAAGTAGAATGGAGAATGTGTTTATTTTATTTAAGTACTTCAGAACCAGGAAGATTAAAACATATTCCTGCAGTAGAATGATAGGGTACTCCAAATAAGACAGTAGTGAGTAACCATTTGTGTAATTATAACTAGTCATCACAGTATAGCTGGAAGAAACGTAAATTGTTGGTTAAATTTATTTATGAAAAATGTTGAAATTTTTGGAAAATGTATATTTTTCGGACTGAAATCGAAACGAAGGAATTTTTGATGAAATAGAAGATTGAACTTACCTTGTCAGTTCTAGCAACAGACCTACAACTGAAATTTGATCTGCTGATTTGGCAGTCAGCAAATTCAAAATTTGGGGAATTTTTAATATAAAACACATGCCTATTGTTACAAGGCTCAAAAAATTTGCTAATTGTTGAAGTAACATTTCTTTTTCGATTATTTTTACCTTACTCTTCTACCTGCAATATATTATACCACTGTTACAACTTCAGTTGTACTTTCAAATTTTTTTTTTTCATT